TCCATCCATCCATCCATCCATCCATCCATCCATCCATCCATCCATCCCTCCCTCCAGGGCTGATGGCTGCAGAGGGGGTGGGGGAGCCCTCTCCGGCTTCCTTCCCTGTCAGTGCCGCCTCCTTCTTGCCCTCTGGCTATTTGCTTGGCCTCTTGGTAAGGGCGCTGCCTTTCAATGGGTACCCTACCCCTCCCTCTAACACGCATACATCCCCTTTCTCCCCCTACCCTGGTTCTGTAACCCGTCGTGTCTCCCCTCTGCCACAGGGAATGGGCAGCAGCAGCAGATCCCCCCTGGACGGTTCCCCCCAACCCAGGTGAAGCAGGACCCTGGCGAGAACCCCTCGACTTCCTCCTCCTCAGGTTCCCAGGAGACCTTGCAGGACCGCAGTCTAGACCTCAGTGTGAAGGAGCACGGGTGAGCTTGGGGGAGCAGGGCCTGAGCCCCTCGAAGACCTGGGAAGGCCCTTCCTCAGAGGGCATCCTTAGAAAGCACATCCACCTCCAACCCCCAAGACACCACCATCCACTGTCCTCCTAGTACACGTTCAGGCGTCTAAACCACTGTCCCCCCCAAAACACCAAGCAAGTGACTCTGCTGAAGGCCTTACGCCTTGGACAAGTGAGTTAGTACTGCTGTAAAATGAGAGAGCTGGACCAGGTGGTCTCTGAAGTCCCTTCCAGTGACACGACCCTCCCCTACCATGCAGGAGCCCCGAAGGAAAATCCTGGGCTTGGTACTTGGTGAGCCAGGCTAACATGTAGTTGTGCTAGAAGTAGCTAAGAGAGGGACCCCGGCCAGGCTGCTCGTGCCTTCTCCAGAAAGCCCTTGGCTCGGCAGGGGGTGTCATCCTTCCTCCCCTGCCAGATGCATTAGGCACTGGGGACGGAGCCCTGAGGGGAATTAATCTCCGGGCTCCTGGGTTCCCGGTCCCCACATGCATCCTAACTGAAGCCCGTTGGTTTGTGTGTTCCAGCAATGAATCAAATAGCCACGCAGTCGCAGCAAATTCATCTCTTTTATCCTCGCTTATGAATAAGGTAAGGGCCATCCATCACACGCCTTCCATCCCCCCACCCACCGAAATTAAAGCTGGGTGAGGAGGGGTGGGGGGATGTGTTTGTTTTTTAATGTTTTGCCTCTAATAAGAT